ACACAGTTGATTCTTGGAAATAAAAAATAAAAAACTCATAACAGCAATTAAATGGTAATGATAATGATAATAATTATTATTGTATTTTAAAATCATCTTTTATATTTCTTGTGAAGAACACCCTAATTTGATACATAGTTATTTCATGCTTGAAAAAGGATAAATAAAGTCAAGCTACCATTGTTTGTACTTTCACTTTTATATTTTTATATAATATCGCATATCCATTGATTTATCATATATAATTTACGTCGAATACTTAAAACAAGAAAAATAATATATCATGATGCATAATGTTTGTAATCCCACTTTTTTCCGCTTTTTTTCCTTTTTTCTTTTTTCACTAAAGTGCAATTTTGTGTACATGTTTTATTCTATGTAAAGTGCCCTAATTTGATATATAACAGGTATTGTGTTGAATGTACATTATACAAGGTTTTTATAATTTCACAATGTAAGAAACATATGGAATCTAAAAGATATATATAAACATGAATTTCAAAACCTTTGCATCAATTTTCATTAAGCATTGTTCTAGTAACAATGACTATTCACTGTGAATAAGTGTAAAAATACCCTAAAAAAAGTTAAAAGATTTACAATAGAGCACATTCCCGCCTCTTCAAGAATGCGTGAACTCTACATTTTGCTACCGTTCCACAATTCTATTCAAACTAAATAAAGCTTTCATCCAAATGCTTTGTCGCAATATTAAACTTATAAAAACACGAACACTGTCATGTTGGGATGGATGAATGAAACACATCCATATAGGATGAAAGGCGAAGACATGGTTACCCGGCGGCGCGCGCAAATATAAGGAGGAGGAGCAGGATCGTTATCTCCATGAAGAGCGGGGTTCCCTTGGATGCGAACGTGCTTGAGAACATTCCGAACACCGTATCGTGAGAACGTGGGCATAGTGGGAGCTCCGCGGGTCGGGCTTAGCCGGGTCCAGTTTCGTAGAGCGGGTGTGCTAAAGTTTGCACGGCTGGCTGGCTGGGCTGGGGTGGAGCGCGGAACTCGGGCAGCACGGGCGGCATGGGAGACAGAGGGCGGCACACGGGAGAGAGCCGGCCCGTTCTGGGCTTGTCCACGCTGGCAAGTGTGAAGGCAGCCGAACTAGGACCCTTTGTTTGGAATGCTTTCAATGAGAGTGGGTCGCTCGGCCCGGGCCGTGCCGGACACCGATCAGCGAAAGGTCGCCCGTGCGAACCCCGGGTGGATGTGCGCCACGATTCAAACTTGTGGTGGCTTGTCGCTTGAGCTTTAAAGAGAGTTCCCATCCCACGTCCACGTTTGCATCCACAATTTCATGTTTTGAGCCAATGCAAAAATACTTGTCGCCTTTATTTTTATTTATTTTTTATGTTGTTGGTTCTAAAATTATGGATATTCAAGTTAGTATGAGGTTATATATGTATATACATACATATATATATATATATGCATGAGCGTTTGCATGTGAATAATTTCGAAGCATTCAAATTATTGTATTGTTAATTCCTTTTAGTACCTGAAAGTGTTGATGATTTGGTGTTTTTGAAAATGTGATTCATATTCAACATATTTGTCAGGTTTTAGAGATTGTGTGTTGAAGACACTAATCATACAAACTACGCAACATTTTTAATGTGTGTATGTGTGTGAGTGTGTGCAGGCAAAAATACCAGTTTCTTTTATTTGGCCCAAATCAAACAAATCACCAATGTTTTATTTTGTCCTTGTCGTTTTCACTCACACCTGACTCAACTGATGAGTTTGAAACCATTATATATAAATACGTGTGCATATATATATATATATATATATATATTTGTTTCATTGCATGTAAAATTCAATTGCCAAAAGTGAATGCAAATATCTGTAACTCGTTATCAACAAACTACCAATAAGTTAATTTGTTTATAGAAATGGTTGTGTTTATTGTGACGTGAGATTGAATGGAAGACCATAGTTGGTTTTCCTATCATTTTGGTCGATTTTTAGATATTATTTTTTATTATAGCTCTAATTTCTATTATTGTTACTATCGTTATTTTCCATTTAGGAATCTAAGATAGGCTAGAGTTTATGGAAGGTTAGATGTCAGATGGAGCAACGCAGATGAACACAAACGATAAATATACGTATTCATCTATGGTCTCGCAATGGCATAAATCCTAATTTTTGCCACGGCGGTGTTCCGTTTCGAAATTCTTGTCATGCTCGCACTGTACCACACGGCACAATAGGAGCTCAGCCATATCGCAACGTCGACGAATCCATTTGTTTGATTTTTTTCCAATTTTTTTTGATGTTTTGAATTTTCTTCTTTCTCCTTTCTTGATAACCTATTTTAAAGGCATGATTTAATACCATGGAATCGCTATTCGGATATCTGGGGGTTTTAACGGAGGTCAAAGATACTGAATGCCAGTAAAAGAAAAGGAGCTATAACATCTGGAGGTTGACAGACTAGGATTCCTGGCAGCCAAATTAGGTCATTGTCCTTGTTAATTCTGAAAACTTTAGCCTTCCTTCGCCAAGTGCTACGGTTTGCAAGATGCCCCAAAATTATCTTGCATGATCAAGTTACCCAAGAATCCCCAAATAAACGACCGACCATAAAAATCTGTGGAGCGGATGAAAATAATGAAAGTTATGAACCTTATCGCAGGAAACATCAAGTTTCAAACACTGGGTTGGTTTTGATTGTGTGTGTACGCTGTGGTGAATAGCCTAGCCCACGTTTTTGCACGTTATAGAAAGTATTCAGAGTGGCAGTGGTCCCTTTGGAGTGTTTTTCTTTACTCTGATATTTATTTCCTGCTTTAGATTTTATTCTATGTATTTTAAGCGCACAATCTTGTTCAGACGAAGAACTGTCTAGTGTTTGTACAATATGATAATATAGATACAAGTGTTGTTGTGTGAACCATGTGGGTTTAATCAAATTGAAAGTTCAATGTCCAACTTGAACTGTTACATTTCATTCGAGCACCCAAAGCAATAATAGAAGCATCACTATACTATGTTGCTGACCAGTTATTATCATTGTTTGTTTGTTTGTTTTTTTGGGAATGCTAAAATTCAGCTCAAAATTATTTGACATGGGTTACCACATTAAAGTTGTCAAGTACCATAAGTTAAAATGCAGAATGCATTCAATCGAGTTGTTTTTTTTATTAAAGAATACTACACTCCAATCATGGTGAGTCCTACATGACAATCCTATCCCATCCAGTTTCCTAATTAGTTTTTTTCATGTGGTCAATGACCAACAATCACGGAACCCTAATCATCGGGAAGTACCTCTCCTGATGAGAATAGAGCACCCCTCAACGAAGACTGACGTTGACGGGGAAGCCAGTTCACGTCTACGTAGTTTCAAGTCACCACCATAAGAAGAAGAAGAAGACCACCAATACTTTGCACCGATCTTTAATATTTTTCACATGACGAGAGAGAGTGTTTTCAAAGCTTCGAGATATAGATTTGTGTGATGGTGGGGTTTGGTGTCAGGAGCGGAGGCACCCATGTTCTCTGCCGCACCAGGCCTGATGAATCAGGAGCTCGTTCCCCTGGGACGCTCTCCCGTGCCCCCGAATTCCTTTCCTTTGCTCCCTCCATAATCAGGTCGGTTCCCAACCGCACGGCCGCTTACAACCATGGAATCCACCACGAGAGACTGATAAAGAATCTTCATTCCGGGCACGTGAAGGTGCTGGTGGCTGGGGATTTCTGTTAATTTAGCGGAGCCTCCTGATTCATCTGCCTCCACGTTGCTAAAGGGGGGTGTAGTTGTGTTTCGGGGACCCATTGACGTGGGGGGGGGGGGGTGGGGTATATTATGCTAGAATCTAGCTTAAGTTCGAGGTCCCCAACATTTAGTCATATAATTTAGCCGGGAGAGGCTCATTGGTCGCCAAAATTGGCAGTAGTGATCCCCACTGCAGAGGTCGCATACGGCGCTATTTCCAAGACGAAACCAGGATTTTCTGTGGTTTGAACAGTGCGGAAATTTGAATTGGGATGAATCAGGGATGCTATTGTCGTATTTTCAAAGGGTGAGTTCCATTTCTAAAACTCAGTTTTTTGGGATTTTCATACCCTTTTTTTTATTCACATATTTTTGGGTGAGGGTAACCATGGGGAGGTCATCTTGTGTTTCTCCAGTACCAAGAGCCCCCCCCCCCCCCCAATGTGGTGGGCACAGTCTCTCTCTCATGAAGGGAACTTTTCTTCAAGGAGTTGGGTGGTGTTTGTACCGTATGATGATGGCGTTTCACCCGTTAAAATTTAGGAGTACAGGAGGAAAAGAAAAAGAAATAGAAAAAGAAAGAAACATAGAAAAGAAAAAAAATCAGAGTAGAAGTTACAATGCCACCACACAAAGAAAAACACAAATAGAAGCGGAGTGGGAAATGAGAACCCTAAAGGATAGGAAGTCATTATATTGATAGGGGGTTAGAGAGAATTATGAAGTATGGGCTCATCACGTGACACACCACCTCCTACCCCCCAAAGTCAGCCCGGTAATGAGGAACCCCCACATCAATGTCTCCACATGCCCCCCCCCCAAGGACCCTATCCCTACTGATATCCGCCATTATATACCCTGATATGGTCTCCGTTATTACCCGCACGAAGAGCGGAGCCAACAGGAACCGCGAGCGTGCAGAGAAGCGGGACCCGGGTTTCGGATAGGGGCACCGACGGGTGTCAAGTTCAAGGCAGGTAGCGGGGAAGAAGGCGAGGATATCGGCTACGTGCGCAGAAGAGTGGGACGTACGAGTCAGGGAAGCTGCCAAAGACTCGGAGGCAGAAGGAAGAGTAAACGAAGCAAAAGTAAAAGGGAGAACGAGGAGGAGGGAGTGGTAAGTGGGGATTCGGCTGTTTGCTTGATTTAGGAGAGCAATGGCCGCACTTAGAGGTTTCTCGGGGGGGGGGAGGGAGGGGGGGGGGGGGTAAGTGGGAGGTGCTACAGTTGTACTCTCTTCGCGCTGCTGCACTACATGATTGCGCGCTTTGCTCCAGCGTGGAGCAGAACAACTGGGGCCAGTCTCTCGTCTTGCCTGTCAGTTGATGTGCAGGGAGAAAAATACGCAGGAAATTCTTCGCGAGTTTTCAGGCAATTTGCTTTATGGTTCTCAACTTTTTTCGGTATAGGAGGAGCAGCTAGTGATGTCCGAGGTGAAGGGAAATGGGAAGAGAAGTCGGAGATAGAGTGTAGAAGTCAGTGAAGTGTCCGTGCGAGAGAGCGAGGTGAGATTGACTGGTTGTTCGTATCTATGGCGAAAGGTGTCTTGCGCATCGCTTAATGACCCTGAGAGTTAAGATTTTTATTTTTTATTTTTTATTTATTTTTTCTTCTCTCGTTGAAGGTTGAGCATGTGTCTAGTGTCTGTCCTGCACAGTTTATATTTTTGGAAGCCCTCGAGCTTCTGGAGACTCGAAGTGCAGTACAATTCCTGCGCCTCTGGTTCTTGACTAAAAGAAAATCTTGGAAAGGTCATTGTCATTCGAACTTCGCATTTTGCACTCCACCTAGAGGACGTTGTTTGAACTCGTAGCTGTAAGGGAAAATACAAAAAAATTAAAATAAGGTAGTTCTTGGACGCATTGTTGTAGCCATTCATTAAGAGAGGTTGAGAACGTTAATTATTGTGATAATTGGAAAGACAAAGAGTCTGGGGAAGAGTCTCATCAGTGGATATGAATGTCGGAAAAATCAGTGAGTGAGTGTGGCCTGAGCTTCCGTAAAGCTAACTCAGAGTAGATGGTGTAGAGCAAAGAGATTGTTTATAAGCTTTTTATATCCGTCGAATTCGTTCATGTAGAGTTTTGGAAGGAACCTTCGCAGACAATGCAGACTGACTAGTTCCTGGAGAGCTCGTCGGAGCATAGTTGAGTGTTAAATTTGTGTCGTTGAGGTAGTCTCGAGGAAGAATCAAAGGGTTGTGAGTGACAACGACAATGGTTTCTCCCTACGTGCTTGCGGGTGGTTTTGGCTCCTATGGGCATCCGGAGGTGGACAAGCCTGCTTTGCCGGAGTTTTTTCACATCGACGACCTGTTGGACTTCAGTTGTGACGATATTGGGGGTCCAATAGTGGGAGGGCACTTGCAGCTGTCTGGTGTGACAATTGAGAGCTCTGTGAATGGTGGTGAAACGAGCATCTCATCTTCACCGTTGGAACTTGAGAGCGAGCTAATAGAGAATGCGATGCAGGATATTGAAGTCAAGGCAGACCTCTGTGTTCCAGTAAGTGTTAATACCCGTGACCTCAAACGTGTGTGAATGCGAGTCATTGTGCGATATAAGTGCTTACAAGCCATGTAGAATTCTCTGGTTCTTTGGGAGTTTCCATTTAACTTTTTCGGCGTCTCTGATTGCACACTGCATGTGATAGTACATTTATCGCATTGCGTTTGTGCTAAACGAAAACGACCAACATAGAATGTTGAATGTGACTAGAAATGAGTGGGAACTCTTTCTAGCTTCCAACTCTTGTTGCTCACGCAGCTTGGGACGTCGATGCCTTGAAACGAACGTCAAATTCTTGAAAAAAGTTCAAAAAAAATTGCAGCGTTAAAATTCATTGTGTAACGCGTCCGCAATTTTATCTGAGAACGGTCGTACTGAACTTCAGTGTGTGAGCTGTAACCATATGGCTCAATTTTCACATGAAGAAAATTGAGTGTGTGAATTCCTGCAACAGCAATCGAGACGCAACATGTAGCGTTTTTTGCTGCCGGATGCTTGAGTTAGAACTCAAAATGCATGGCTCGTGTTTGTGCAGTCAGATGATCTTGCCGATCTCGAGTGGCTTTCATCGTTTGTGGAAGACTCTTTTACGGCAGTCGACACACCAGAGATTTTCTCAAGATACGGCGATTTTCCCTCCGCTATCAACAACAGCGGCGAACTAACGCCTAACATGAAGCTGTCTAACGCGTACCAGCCATATCAGAAATCAAGTCCAACCTCTGTCTTGGAGACCAGTACAACTTCATCGGAATTCACTGGACCAGATTACAGGGATGTGTCCGTTCCTGGAAGAGCACGAAGCAAAAGGTCAAGGACGGGAGTCAAGACATGGACAACAAGAATTCTTTCCACCAGCTCCTCTGTGAATAGCCTTGAGTCGATGGGAGCCGACTCGTACTCCTTGTCCTACTCACCAATCATGTCGTCGGAGGACGGGTCTGGCGACAGTACGGTGGATGCTGGTGAGCAAGACGACGAGGACTCGCAAGGTTCCAAGCGATGCAAGACGAATAACGGTGGTCAGAGCCAGAATCAGAGCAAGAATAGCGTGAGCACGAACGCCAACAGCAACGGCAATAGCAAAGGGAGGAAGAAGAATCAGGACAATTCGCAGCCGTGGCGGTGCATGCACTGCCAAACCCAGCGCACCCCGCAATGGAGGACGGGTCCAATGGGGCCGAAGACATTGTGCAATGCCTGCGGGGTGCGGTACAAGTCAGGAAGGCTGCTCCCAGAGTACCGACCGGCGGGATCTCCGACATACGAGGCATCGAGGCATTCTCATTCACACAAGAAGGTGCTAGAAATGAGACGAGAGCGGGAGCTGCGAATGCAGCAGCCAGGAGGGCATGCGGTGCAGCAACAAGGTGTTCACGGCCCGGCGGCATTACGCGAGAAGACAAACAACATAGAGGCGGGAGTGAAGGGGTCAAGTGGGGAGTACGTGAAATCGGATTATGGAAGCTATGGATCAAAGTGTCTGGAGTCGATGAAGGCGCGTTTGTCGCAGCCGATGGATTTACCTCGACCTCGGAAGAATGAGCTACCGAAGTATCCGAGCAACGCGTCGGGGCTGGAATTTTCGACATGCTTGACAAGCACGACGGCCGTTCTTGGGTCTCGGGTGGACTTCGGGGTGGATGACAAAAGCATTAGAGAGATGAGGGAGCTGTAAGGTCCTTGGAGGAGAAAATTTGGAAGCCAAATTTTTTTAGCTGGGTGAATATATTCTTTTGGGGAACTTATGAAGAGACTTTGTACATGGGAGATAGTAAGACACAGAAAGAGGCTTAGGAGATTCAGATGTCAGCCGATCAATTTATACCCCCTACTATTGCCCCTTGATTTTGCTACAAGTACTTAGAAAAATACAAAGTGAAACGGCAAAAGTGTACTTGGTTATTAGATCGTTGTGAAATTCACAATGGTTTTGTAGATGATAGGTACAGGAGGCACTTCTTTGTCAACGCCTTTGTAGCAACAGCAGACACCAATGTCAAATGGAATCGTGATTTTGGGTCTATACATTTTTATAGCGCTGGTTGTAATTTTATTGGCCCCTTCCCTTTGCAGAGGATACTGCAAGTAAGGTGGATATATGTATGCTACTCTCACAAGTTCAATGGGAATCATTCTTTGAGATCATGGTGTGGTTTTGTTGGAGTGGGTGGATGTGGGCAATTAATAGCCCGGTGACTCTGGTGTGTTCCAGGAGAATTCCTTAAGTTAGAAGCATGGAAATTGTCCTCTGAATGAACAAGTCTTGAAGTCTGGTATTCAGGATATGGTAGAGTGGCGGGTTTTGGACACGTCTCTAGACAAGCATGAAGCCTACGTCCTACAGTGCAGTGCAGTGCAGTGCAGTACACCGACTTGTTATGTGTTAATGTGAGCATTCATGTTCCGTAAGACCTGTGGATGCTTTGTCCATGCCACGACCCATGCGCTGAAACCAAAACTCTGGCCAGTAAAACTCCTTTTTCGCGATGCGTCTCTTCAGTGGGTTTTATCACAAGACTCTCGTTTCCTTGCTGATGGATGTACTATGGTAGAGGTTCTCCAACTCTTGGGCACCAGGTCTCATCATCAGCGCCGCAGCCGTGCTCCCCGTTGCTTATGCATGCTGACTGGGGAGGAATCTCATTGCATCAATAGTATTCTGCTAGAGGTGGAGCTTTTTAGGGTTTTCATTGGACGGGTCGCTGAGAACCTTATTTCTGTTTTGTGTGTGTGTGTGGACATATCTAGAGGGTGCACAGGAGTTGGCTCTCAGTAATTCGGCGTGATCACCACCAAATGAGCTCAACCCATGTGGTTGCTCCGTGAGAGAATTTCTTCCTGCACCCGCGAAACATCCCAGCTTCGGTGAGTGACGCCGCTTCATGGCCTTGAATTATGCGAAAGGGGCCGAACTAGTCATGATTCCCGTGATTTGACTGATGTATCCCCTCCTGTTTTGGATTGAATGGAATCCAAACATCAGCCAAACGTGGTAACTCGGCGACTGGTGGCGAAGTTGACGAGATTTTTTCCGAATTTCTCAGTCCTCCACATTTGGACTCAGATCTAGGGTGTAGGGATTATTGTGAAGATTTTGCCAACTTATGATTCTTCTCTTGTCAAAATCTTCACACAGTCAGTGCTAGGTTCATGAATGAGATGTGTGGCCCCTAGTTTGACAAGGTTCAATCATCCCATCCTTGTTGATTAGGAGGCATGAAAGGAGGAGGATATGTTGGAGAATACATTTTGGAGGATATCAAAACTAAAGATTTTTGGAGGATATAATGTATTGAAGAGGATAGTAGAAGTTGTTGTTGTTGTTTTTGTTTTTGTTTTTTTTCTATCTTTCTTTCAAGGTTTTGCATATTTTTGTATCATTTATGCATTGTTGTAGTTCTAAAAAGAATATTAATTTCATTCACTAAATTTTAATAATTGAAGATGATAATGTAGAAAAAAATATAGGGAGAATTTGTTTAAAGAAATCTTCAACTACATACAATGTGGCATATTTATTATTGGTAGAATAATTTTACATTGTGATATAGGTAGGATATTATTTTTTAATATTGAAACTACTAACAACATGGAAAGTAAGCAACTCTCTTAAAATTAGGAAAATGCCTAATCTATCTAATTTGGCTGAGGTTAGGCATTTGACAAATTTAAGATTTGGTAAATTAGGCATTATTCCTAAAAATGCCTTATTAGAGGCCATCTGAAAAGAGATAAGATTGTTGATAGATACAATATGATATAATGATTAAGATCCAATATTAAAATTATATTATGTTTATTTTATTCATTTAAATATCATCAATAATATCTTCTATTACTTGTAGTGCAAGATTCCTTGCAGAATAAAATTCGTCAAGGATTTGCAAAAATTATTTTTCTTGTATTTTAAAATTGAAAAGCTTGATTCAATTGTCATTGTGTTGAAAAAGATTATTGCTAAGCCATAAATAAATTTTACCAACTTGAGATACTTGTCTTTTAAACTTGGCAACATCCAAATAATATTAAATGAGGTGTCATTTGTATATGCATCTACATCTTTTTTTTTTTATTGCAATGTTGGTTGCATATTCAGATAATAGTTGCTTATATTTTGTAGAAATCAAATTGACCATCTCCTTGGTTCATTGAAATAATACCTTCAAGCATTTCATTTGTATGATTATTAACAAGGATATTTTTCAACTTGTAAATAAGATTAACTTAAGTGGTAAAACATGTGGAATTGATTCATTGCTTACATCATTCTTGGAATAACACAATATAATAATTTTTATCTTATATTATTATTCATCAATAATTGTTGAAAATGATTTGTAATTTCAATACAATAATTTGATAAGAAAAAGTTGACATTGCACATTGATATCTATCAAACTTTGAAAACAATCAAACATATAGTTCTTATTGCTATAATTAGATTTTATTGTTGATACAAGTCATTGATGATTCAAATATGAATGCTCCAAAATTTACCTTCATTTGAATTTTTATACACCAATTATATTATAATGTTGAGTTGATGCAACAAGCAGTAGATGTAGAAAATGCCAAGTATACTGCTTTGTTTTACATGTGTTAGTATACCTTATAAATTCTTGGTCATGTTTTGAGTACCATCTAACATACACATAATTATTGATATTTGCCAAAATAAAAAAATCACATCCAATAGTTTAACAGTTAAATCATATTGAGTTATGCCCATATGATTGCCATGAATAGGAATAGCCATGATGTATAAATTGTATAATATGCACTTCCGAACAAATCAATAAGAAAGATTGAGGTATGTGCTTCTTTGAAAAGTTGATGCATCTAGTGCCATTGCAAACATCCAAACCTCACAAAAAAGATTACTAATTATTTACAAATTGACAACGCAAGTTGTTTGTATAAACTACTATATTCTTAATTCCAAAAACAAATCCAATAAACTAAGTTTGGTCTCCTTTTTTGTTTCTTGCATTGCATTGGTGGCCTAAATTAGGCTCATTTTTAGGCCTACAAAAAAAATTATTAGAAATATAGTGTTAGAAAAGAAATAGCCACTTGGTATGACAATCCATAATTGTCTATAATGAATAAAGCCAATGTCTTGTTTTGTGTGATACCTTCCATATTATTTGGATGCCTCATAATATTGCCAATGATAGTATTATTTAACAAGGTTTTAAATGTGAATGTAATGATATTAGAATTCGGCTCTACATGAGAATATAATGTATTGATAAATGGCTTAACTTTCATAAAAATTGCTTCTTTATTTTCTAGCAAGATTTAAAAATATTCTTTTTACTTGATATGGTGGTAAAGTTCTAAATGTATATAAAAGTTTTTATAAAAAAACAGTGGTTGAAATTGCTTTGTAGTCTTAATCAACAAATATTTATTCTTGATTTTTTTTTTTCTCTGCCAAACACAATGAAAAAATAGCAATGGATAGTAAGGCACAAAATGATTTTTCCGTTGATAATACAAAGGCCAAATTTCTTTATATGGTTTGGACTTAAAGGTATTATGTGAAGAGCCACAATTTTTTTTTTTAATGTATTTCCATGATTAAATATTGGCAAAAGTGACATGTAGCAACATTCATTCTACTTATTTAACTTCATTTCAAGGCATCCGCGTGAATCACAATCTATTACAGACATATATTTATTGTAATTATTATTTATGTAATATAAATAGATAGAAATAAGTAAAAATAAATAAATTTCATAATATCTTCTAAAAAAGCTTCTTAAAAGTTTTAAAGATGATACTTTGATTTTATATGTGTTTGTAATTGATTAGTAGGTTAAAAACTTCGTCAACAAGTTAACCGCATGCTACACGTATATATAGCTTGTGGAACAAATAAACTATGTGGTATCCATATAGAAAGCTTGCCTTGCAAGTTAAGATACATGTCGTTCACAGTCAACATATTTTGGAGGTCCTATAGAATGTTGCCATATAGCTTTTAGATAGATAGTATATATAGAGGCAAAAGTGAAGTCTTCTTTATTCTTGTCAATTCTTTTCTTGCTTCTAATTTAGTTTCAAGTAGTCTTTAATTTTCTTATCTTCTGATAATAGCTATTTAAGTTTTTTTTAATATACATAATTTTTTATTTCTATTTTGACAATGAAAAAAAAGTTTTTTAAACATCTTCATGATAATTGATGATATACCTCAAATACTATTGTAGAACTTAATTCATTTGTTTTTTTTATTTATGAATTTGAGGATGAAAAGTCAAAGAAAGCTTTATATCCGTTTTTAAAAACTTAAAAATGGTTCTCTAAAATCTTGAAATAAATTAAGTCTTCTTATCCAATATAATATCTATGGGTGATCCATGATAGCGATAGATGTTGTTAAGAAAAAACTTAACTATTTCTTTACTTGTGATAGATTTTGTATATTGTACAAAATATAACATTTAGAGAAAACAATCTACTATTATAAATATAGAATCATAAAAACTTTAGATTGAAAAATTTGTGATAAAATCCATAGAAATAGAAGACTATGGTTGTTTCAAAATAGGCAATGGCTGAAGAAGTCCATAAGGTCAATGATGAAGGGTTTCAGATCTTGAACAAATATCACATGATTGTATAATATCTTTGACTGTCTTTCATATTTGAGGTCACCAAAAATCTCTAGATATAAGCTCCAAAGTCTTATTCTATCCAAAATATTTTATTGCTAGAAAGTCATGACAAGCTTAAAGAATACATAATTATACTTTGTCTTCTAGAATGTATAATTTTGTTGGTAATATTCACTTTTTAACTCAAATTACAAGATGGCATCAATTAAAAATTTCTTGTAATTGGTGATATAAAGTGGAAGTAGCAAGAAACAATAACAAAAAAAGAACAACACAAAAAAAATGAAATAAGTGTAATCAAGTAATTATATATTATAAAACTAGTCACAGTTTGTTTATTAGATTTTCATTCAATAAAATAAAAAAATAAAAAAATAAAAAATCTATTTTTAAATAGGTAATTTAAAAAATATTTTTAATGAAATAAAAAATATATAAATCCAAGTTATTTTGAGTAACTTATGATAGATTAAAGATAAAAGGTAAATAATAGAAAAATTAAGTAAATAATTTTTACCT